CTTAATTTAAATGCAAAATTTAAATAATAGTTTTATTTAAAAAAAATGCTAAAAAAAACTAAAGTTACAAAAATTAGATATAATTTTTTTATAAAACTAAATAATATAATGTAATAAATTTTTAGAAGTACAAAATTATAATATACTTTTTTTTATTTTAAAAGTAATAATAACATATGCAAAAAATAAATAACTGTATTTATTTGAGTATAAATATATGACATATTAGTAATATAAGAAGCTTATTTTCAAATTTCATATTAAATCTTAATTATTTTATAATTTCTAATAACTGATCTATATTTAATTTTATAAAAGTTGATTAAATTATTATTTAAAAGGATACTTCATCTAATATAAAATTTGAATAAATTGTAAATCAATATTAAAATTAAATAAAAATATATTTTATTAATTTTTCATTTAAATCATAAAATTTTATTTTCTAAAACATTAAATTACTTTAAAACTAAATTTTAATTTAAAAGTAACATTATATTTGTATAAATATTTTTGAATTAAATAAACTTTTTTGTGTTTTTTTATAATTCAAAAAATGTATTATATAATATTTTGTTAAGTTATTATTAAAGATGGCATTGCAACTAGTTAAAAATACATGATGTTATTTGTTACCAGTTGCAACTAGTTGCAGCGTCATTTTTAGTCATTATTTTATTATTAATTATTATTTTATTACATATTGTTATGAATACAAATAATTATATGCTGTATCAATATTCAAAAAGATTTTTACATCAAATATAAAGATTAAATTACATATAAAGCCATATAAATTATTATTATTTATAAAATTATTAGAATTATAGACTATAGGTTTTAAAATGTCATATCATTATAATAAGTAGTTCTGAATTATTATTATATAGTTTATTAAGAAATTTGTTATTAAAGCTATAAATAAAATCATAATCATATAGATATTTGTTATTGAATTAAATAATTTTATTTTATAAAAAAGATATATGTATATTTTTAATAAAGCTTTCTTATAAAGAAAAATTAGAATATTTAATAGTTATTTTTGATTTTTTTTGCTTTGTATAGTATACTTACTTTATACATTAATTAATTTTAATAGTATAACAAATTCTAAAACTACACAGTTAATTAGACCTTATAGATTTAATAATATCTTAAAGCAATTAAAAATCAGAAAAAAATATGTACAGAAATTACCTTGAGTTTGAATTATTAAAAATCTTGTATTATAATAATAACAAGAAATCTTTAAATTTTAATAAAATATAATTATATTAAAAAATACGTATAGGTGCTTACAAAAGAAATGCAGTTACTATTAATTACATTTAAAAGCTTATAACAGGTTAACTATAAAGACTTAAATTATAATTTATATTTATTTTAAAGTACAAATTTTGAAGAATAACCTGATATTAATTTAATATTCAGTTAATAATACAAATTTATGTAATTTAATAATTTATATCAGAATTTCTTACTTAATAAACTTTGAGTATAGAAAAATTTTTTAGTAGACTCACTGCTATAAAATTGATATTAGATTCAAGTTCTCACAATGTGATGATTCTGTTATACTCTAAATGTATTAATATTTAAAATACATATTTAGAATATTTAAATTAAAATCCATAATTGGAATATTTTAAATGTGAAGATTATTTGAAATATTTATTTTTCCAAATGCGTATTTATCCTAAATGCATATTTTAGACAAAATTCTAAATAAATATTTCAGATATATCCTAAATGCATATTTTGGATAATATCCCAAATGTATGTTTTAAATAATATTCTAAATACACATTTTAAATATTTTAAATGTGCATTTTAGACAATATTCTAAATGCATATTTTGGATAATATTCTAAATATGCATTTTAGACAATATTCTAGATGCATGTTTTAGATAATATTTTCACTTTCTTCTTTTACTTTTCCTACTTCAATTTTCTATAGCTTAATAATTAATAAGTATGTGGAATTTTCTTATTTAATAAGTACTTTTTTTACAAAATTAACATAAATTTCTTTTTAAGAAAATTAAAAAAAAAATTAAATAAGTATATTTTTTAATTAGTTTGTTAATTTAAAATTAAATATGTTTTATAATTATTTTTAATAAATAAGAAAAATGAATTATTAGTTTATTAATAGACTTGCTTATTATGAATATTGTTATTTATTTAATAAATATATTATATTATTTTTGTTAAATTTTTTTTTAAAAAATAGAAAAAACATAATCAACATCAGTTGAGTATATCTAATTTCTATACTTTTCTTTGGAATTTATTTTATAACGAAATCATATATATATATATATCAGTATATTTTAAATTTTTTAAATATTTAAAAAATGTTATTTCAATTAAAGTTTTATTATGTATTATAATTCAACAAATAAGATAATTTTATTAGTATTGTAAAGATTAAAAACATAAAATTGATATATAAAAAGAGATAAGAAATACTGAAGATACAATTTTCTATAGAAAATTTTGTATAATTTTAAAAAAAGAAGAATTATTTTTTAAAAAAAACATAAAATCATATTTTCTATTTTTTCTATTTAATGGCTTAACAAAAAATAAATAAAACATTTATTTATAAACTATTTTGAAATAATAAATAAAAATAAGTTTTCATATTTATTGATGGATAAACTATTATACCTTTAATTATATTGTATTTACATCTTATTTAGCATTCTTAATATTTATAAAGAAAAATGAAAGAGAAGTGGGTTAAATTCTTAATAGTAATTGAATGGAATTATCTGCTTTCTCAGATCGTTACATTCTGCTATATATAAATGGAATAATACTGTGATAACAAGTGATTCAAATGATCTCAAATGACTCAAATGATTGATTATGTGTCATTTTGACAAGTGACCTGGTCATTTAAAATTATATCATGTGATCTCAATAATTCTGGCCAAAATAATTAATGTAATTGTTTCAAAAATTTTCATAAATATATCACGTGATATAAATTTGTAATTCTGGTCAGCATATAAATTTGGCCTGTATTACATTTAAATGACCAAATGACAAATGACCTCAAATGACCAGGTCATTCGAAGGTCATTCAGAGGTCATTTTCTATTACTGTTTATATTATCTTTGCTTTTTTTTAACCCAATATAGGTGAGCATTTGCGTCGTCAACATGAACGTGACGCGATAGCGTTGATTTTGCACTACATTAAATCATATTTTTTTTTGTAGAATATTCGATCCTTACGCACAATTAGAACAAGAACCGTTCAGGGAAAAATAATTTTCCATTACAGTGGCAAATTCATGCATCTCATATATAAATGAAAAATCTTTAACATAATATATAATGGAATTTTCCATGTACAATATCAAGGTCCATTTAATTGCACTCAATGAGTAAGTCTTACCTTACTAAATACATCAAATTTACTGTTTATGCATTTTATAATAAGTTATCATCAAAGTCTCTTATTTGCGAGCGTAAACATTCTGGATCATCATTGTCTAATTTCAGTTTTTGAGTTCAAATAATTCAAAAGCGCATATATGTTAGCGTGTTATCAAGTAATTTATAAATTTAAGGAAAATAACTATGTTCATAATTAACGATGAAATTTCAAACTAACAATTTTTTTTTTATAATCATATTGGAGGTTTGCTATTAAAATTATTAAAATCGAGTTACGAACATAGTAAATCATATGATCCGAAACGTGATTTTAATAGCAAACCTCCCATATCGTCAACTTAAATTTTTTACATTTACGTGTACATGCAACTTTATTTCAGCCCTATCATTGCTTTAATAAAATCCTGTAAAACTATCAGATTTCCCAATCAAGAACTTACATTTTAATGCGCTAACTGTATTCGGAAAAATTTGTATCTAATTTTAAATCCCAAGGTCGAATCCGCTTTTGCTTTATACGTAAATTTAGACGTTGAAGCCGTGATCCTTCACTGCGCCAAACACGTGACTCAAAATGATTAACAAATCAAACGAAGTTGACACTATGATAAAGTGGTCATAGTTGATCTATTTAATAAATTATTTAATTTCGTTATAATTGTTAGTTATTGTTTAGTTAGAAGAAATATTATATTTTATATATTTATTATAATTATTATTATTTTATATTTATTGTTTATATTTTATTTGTTATATTTTATTATTAGTATTTTATTTTATATAAATATCTCGTATTTTCCCTTGAGTTGAAAGATAACTCGAGATAGAGTTTTAGGATAAACAAAGTGTTCAATTAAGGAATCTTATCAATTTATTTGCTATTACCTTTTGTGGTGCCTTCATATAGGCGTGATTGTAATAAAGTATTCGACGGATTGAATTAAAAGTAAATCGTTTTTGTTTACAGTTACTAAGCCAACAACGTGCGAATAAGAAACGTGGACGTAATTGAAAATATTAAATTTATCATAATTTATATAGCCTTTTTACGAAAAATCGCGCGTATAAAAGTTTTTTTGATCATGAAATTTATTGCTTTGAAACACTGTAAACTAATATACTTTTGCATAAAAACAAAAATTCAATTAACATTAAACCATCTAAACCATCCAACATTGTAATTGTTTTTCGGCAGCTTTCACGGCTTCCGCAGTTTCTGCGGCTTGATTAAGAATTTAGGTCTGCAACCTTAACCTAAATTCGCTCTTCAAAAGCACAGCACGTTTTTAATGCAAAAATTTGTAAACGGTAGGTTTTTATGCAGTACAGATATATAAATAAAATAAAATAAGTATAAAATATAATGTAAAATATAAATAAATATCGAGTCATTTTTACTAAGATTGAAATATAAGTTTTGTGTAACTGTGAACTTGTCCTCTTGGTAACACAACTTGGCGAAAACTCTCCGAATCTTAATTTTGTTTACTTAAAATCTCTGCGTAGGAAATTAACTATACTTGTTTACAAAATAAGAAAGAAAAAAAATTCGAAATAAAAATTGTTTGCATTTAATATTGATTATCATCCCCTATAATGAACTTTAACTAGTAAAGGGTTCTTCATTGGTAAAGTTACAGAATGGACATAATCAGGAGGACATTTTTGTCCCGGTACCATTTCAAATTTAAATTGTCTTAATACAGCTGTCGCTAACATTATGGCTTCAACTGTGGCAAAATTTTGCCCAAGACTATCCAATTATCAGTATAAACAAAATGTTAATAAATATTTTTTTTTTTTAAAAAAAAAAGGTTTATTATACATACCATAATCTAGGTCCAGAATTAAAACTATTGAATTTATATTGATTTGGCTTCAATCCATCTTCAGAATTTAAAAATCTTTCGGGGATAAATTGCTTTGCATCACTCCCCCATATCCTTTCATCTCTTCCCATCGCCCAGGTTGACCAATTAACAATCTCACCGGCATAAATTGGTACGCCATTGGGAAGCACATCATCTTTAAGACATACCTATTATAAAAAAAAAAAAAGCATGTATTAAAATTTTGTCCTAAAAACATGCATAAAACTTATATATATATATTTTTTTTTCTCGGTAATTACCTTCAAATTTTTCGGTACTACAGGATGTAATCGAAGCGTTTCGTAAAATACTGCCAGCATATATTGAAAACGTTTTGTATTGTCATAACTTGAAATTGGATTTTCTGGCGTGAGCAAAGAATTAGCTTCTTTAACTAATTTTTCTTCAACGGAAGGGTCGACCATAAGATTATACATCATCCACGAGAGCGCCTAAAATAAAAGATACCATACAAAATTAATTATACTTTTTATAAATATTTAAGAAGTATTGAACACCAAAGCCTTATTACTTGTGCAGTTGTGTCACGTCCTAAATTATGCAAGATTAAGATTAATAACAAGGGTAATAATAAAAAAAATATACATATTACTATGAAAGACGTACCAGCAATGATAAAATTTAATACAACATCTCTTAATTCCTTATCGGACAATTTTTCTCCGTTATCATGTTGTGCGTTCATAAATATATTAAGGATATCTCTGGAGTCATTTAATGCTTCCGGATTTTTCCTATGGTTCTTAATTATATCATAAGCAAAAGTTGTTAAATGATCACACGCTTCACGCACTTTACGACCATCTTCTGTAAATAATTCTGTGAATTTCCAAAAAGGATTATTGATTCGATCGTCCATTACTCTTTGCACCAAATCGATTGCCGTTGCAAATTTTACTGGTTCTTTTGGATTTTCCAAGCATTTTAGGTCCAATCCGAATGTAACTCTGTAATTTTAAATTTTATAAATCAACTTTTTTTTTATTTTTATTTTTTTTAAAAAAAAAAAGACTTACTTTCCGAAAGCATCCATTGTAAACTTAAAAAATAAATCTTGTAAATCAAACGTGTCACCAGTCTTTGCCAATTTATCCAAGGTATTTAATACTTTCTCGGTTTCTTCTTTAAACACGACGCTAATAATCTCACGAAATTTTCTGCCGTTAAATAAATGAGTCGATAATTTTCTTTGCATTTTCCATGCGTTACTAAGTTAGGAGATCAACAAAAATTTTTCAAAAATGTTAAGATATTAAGTGTAACAAGAAAAGGAAAAAGGTCAGTTTTTTACCCATTAGTATTGAAAATTCCATCTCCCAAGACATCATAAAGAATACTTTGTAAGATTGGCGATTTATGATAGTTCTCAAAATTCGCTGTACATTTACATTTATTATAAAAAGTAAATTAATATGAAAATCAGCTGAGGCCTCCAATTCAATAATGATAAAATCATAATTTCGTCAACTAACTTTTCAAAACGTGTTCGATGCATTCGGGATTATTAATTGTGATAATCCTACCCAAGCCTGGTAACGTATACGTTCTAAAGTTAAAAGGCTATTAATCAATTGTCTCGGATATTTCTCGAACTTTTTCTTTTTCGCGCAATTATAACTTACGCATTCGGACCGTATTTTGTTAAAGTATCGTTCATGAACATTAAGAGACCTTTATTATCTTTGTGAATATCTAACATATTTCCAATGAGTGGATAACCTTTAGGACCATTAAGATCTGTCCTTGGTTTTGTACCAATACATCTATCCGGATATTTTATCAAGAGATAGATCAAAATTGCCAGGAAGCATACGAAAATTGCTGTTATAACTTCCATCTTTATTATTATTTTTTTTTTTAGTTACTCAAATATTTACTCTAGAGAATCATTCTTGAGATCTTTTTATATGTCTGGTAATGTGATAAAAATAGTACCAAATAAAGATTTATTTATTATTGGATAATTTCACATTGATATGCCGATCATGAAAGAATTTTGATAGTTACTAAATAGGAATTTCCGGATTTAGTAAATATTATTAGTTTAGTGATCATTAGTTGTGAAACGTAAATTATGAGAATTTTTTGCGTTAATGTCCGAAATGCGCATTTGGGATATCCCAAATCGGAATGCTTAATTGGGACATTATGCATTTGGGTTACAACCAGGTTTTTTTTTTTTATTTGTTCAGCAACCACGGGCGCAACTGTCGCCTCTGATATCAAGAACCGTAGCAACCTCTTGCGTAATGATATGTTATGATGTTGCCTCTGGTATTGAAATAATCTTTCGCTCATTGTCAATTAACGAACTTCAATGGAGAAATCATATGCAGTTATCGTTGATAAAGTATTCAATGATTTTCGAAATATGTATATTGAAATTCACATAATTTTCTTCTATTATTAAATTGTTGATAATAGAAAAGATAATAAAATTAGTACACAAGTTCAAATAATATGTTTATCTAATAATAAACGACCCATATAGCAGTGATAGCAAATGACCAGGTCATTTTGAAATGACCTTCAAATGACTTTCAAATGACAATTGGTCATTCAGAATGAGTAATTTCGCAAATGACAAATGACCTTAAATGATATTGTCATTCAACGGTCATTTATGTCAATTGATGACATAAGTCATTTATAGTATATTAATAAAATTAATTTCAGATAAAAAATTAAAAAATTAAAATGAGACGAAATAATTTTTTTTAGTAAATGTTGGAATTGGATCATTCAGAGGTAAGTAACGTTGAACATTATTTTTAAAAAAGATAACTAAATTAAATTCCTTACCCCTATTGTAGATACCAGATTCTTCAAGACTTATCGTTCGGAGATAAGTTTTGTGACTGAAATTGATTTTCGTCTGAAGTTGGAATTCAGATGTCTGAAATTGAGATTCGAATTTCAGTTAATTGGAATTCCAATTTCAATCACAATATGCCAATTTTTTTCTTTTTTTAGCTTTTAGCTGAATTATAATTTAATTTTCGCGGCGTTAATTTATTAAATTTTGGAGCATTAAATTTTAAAATTTTCTTTTTTCAGTTAATTTTTCTTTTATAATATTTTTATCGGTTTATTTCTTTTATTTTAATTTTTTTTTGACTTTTTATCACATTCAGGCTGCTGTTTAATGTAGGTTTTTCTTTTTCTTTCTTTTTTTTCGATATTTTTTTTTTTTTTTTTTATATATTTTATTTATATTTTATTTTCATGCAGGTTTTTCGACCGAATCGGTGCTGCGTCAGTTAAATAAGTGATTTTATTCATTTTCGTTTTCATCTATTTTTCAGTTTTTTTTTTTTTTTTTTGGTAAAACTTCAAACCGAAATGGTACAACCTGAAATAGCAAAAAATAATCATTCAATTAGAAGACGTGTGATTGGTTAAAAAAGATTTTTTATGCACATGAAACGAAAATCAATTTCAATCACGACATTTATCAAGAGTTTTGGTAATCCAGATAAAAATTTACGTCGTAATTATTAAAAAGAATAAGAAATACTGAAGATAGATATTATATGGAAGATTATGATGTATTTCAGATAATAACATGAATAATAGTAGAATATTAAGAAGCGAAGTTTTTTTTTTAAAAAAAAATTAATGGCTTAGCAAGAGATAAATAATACATTTACTTGATAAATTTTTGAAATATTAAAATAAGTAGGCAACAGATTTTCATATTTATTGACGGATAGGTCATTTAACCAAAATACAATAACTTCATTACATACACCTTTAATCATATTAGATTAGGTTTAATAGTTTTGATAACGAGACTATTTTTTATTCAGAATTCAAAGATATTTCTAAAGGAAGCTTTGAAAATGATTTTTATTAACAATACATTGATCCGACACAATTAACCACTTAATTACTGTTACTATTTATAGGAGCAAACAATATTAGAAAAGTGGATAAATTCTTATCGGTAAATGACAGATCGATTTGTTTAGTAACATTTTACAATTAACTTACGATTGAAATATTCTACATGTAAAAAATTGTCTACAATTTTATTTTTTACAGAAAAAAATAATATTTAGTTTAAGTACGTTAAATATGATTATTTTTTTCTTTTTGATCTTGAATAAAGTCTTTATTTTGCGTTACTTGTATTTTATTTGCGTCAATTGTTTAAAATACATTTCATTTTACTTCTATACCTCACTTCAACCAATAATCTACTCAACTACTCTCACAACTTATCTTTTAACAACATTTTATCCACCGAATAACTATACATCTCTTAATAACGCACAAGACATTCATAAAAAAAAGTCAGCAAAACGAAAAAAACGAAATTAGTTGATATTTCTTCAAATACTCTTGTTGTCATTTATACACATGCGTGGCTGGCTTATAAATTTATTTTTAAATTTTAACATTAATTTCTATTTTATTGACATAATTTAATATAAAAAAAAGTAATCAAAAAAAAACTCCCTACAACTTATTGAATAAGAAAAAATTAGAATTAATTATAGTAAAAAAAAAAAAAAAAAAGGTCTATAATTAATTAATAGTAAAAAAAAGAAAAAGGTCTAACAAATAATAAAATAATGAAAAAAAAATACTTTTAGTAAATCCTCCCTCCAGAAAAGAACAAAAACATCAATTAAAATAATTAAGAAAAAGAAATTAAATTTATGAAAAAAATAATTAACAGTATTCAGATTTTCCATCTCGAACCTGAAAAATGAATCATAATAATAATTTAAAACATTACAAATAAATATATAGATAGACCTAAAATTTAGAAAAACCTGGATCATATGTTAGTAACCCGATTTTAAATGGTCTGAAGTTGAAATTCAGATTAAACTATTAAGGTTAGGTCAATCATTGAAAAGTTTGATCTGCAGCCATTATTTTTCATCAAATGAAATAATCCTCTTTTTTTTTTTTGTCAAAAAAATAAAAAAAAAATTAAAGGAAGCTATAGCCAGGTAAATTAAATTTTGGAATTCAATATTTAAAATTGTTTACATATTTAAATTATTAAATAATAAATAGAGTGGAAGTTATAGAAGACGGCTCCAAAAAACTTGAACATTTAGAAGAGGAAGGTTATACCACGGATGAAAAAGTAGAACAACTTAACAAAATCAAAAATTTTAATGCTCTAAATTACTTTTTGAAAACCTACAAAATGAATTTTATCTCAAAATTTAGTTGATTCATTAAGAAGTTTAGACAATCCTACACTATTTGACCATCATTCAATGGAAATTGTTACAAGATTGGAATTACACTTACGAACTTTGGTAGCAGCTTTGGAACAAATATGCTTATTGAAGATAGCTATGGTAAAGAAATTCGGGATAAAATTTACAATTCTTTAGCAAAATTTGCGGAATTTCATCGTAAAAACATACAAGTTTTTGAAGCAGGACTTGTTAGCGGCGGCCTTAAGTCAAAGTATTACAATATCCATCAAATCAAAAGTAATACGATGTTATTATGGAGAAATCCAGCAAGATATAATGATTTAATATCGCATTTTATAATATTGATCCTGATAATACCCATTTCTTAAATAAAAAAAGCTATTACTCATTATGGACTTCAAGAATATGGAAACTCTCTATCAGATCTTAATAAATTGATACAATTGGATTCTTCAAATAATCTTTCAGATTTTTATAAAGGACTAATCTATTATAACAAAATGATAATTTGGCGAAATTTCTGTCAAAATATTTATTACATAAACATTCATTAGTGAAAATATTTGTATAAATATTTAATGCAAGAATATTTAAGTACGAATTATGGTCTGACTATTTTATTATAAGTGATGATTATTATATTAAATAGGAATAATTAATAAATATCATAAACTCATGTATAAAAGTAAGGAAAAATAAATACACGCTATTACCTTTTTAGAATATAGAAATATAAACATTTAAAAAAATCAATTATGTTTAATGATTCCCGGAACCTGATTTTCTTAGCAACCAAACCAGTATGTTAAAACGATAAATAGAACATGAATCTACCTTAATTCTGCTTACGGTTGATAATCAATTAAGACTTCTGAAATAATAATATTATCATGCATTGTAAATAATAATTGTTGTTTAAAAGAAATTTAAATAAAACTTTTCTGTCTTACAAGTCATGCTTAATTAGGATAAACAGTATTATATATTCCAGACTATAATAAATAAGTAGCAACATGTTAATCCAAGATTTTCTTGTATGTATCCTGCTATATCATAAACATATTATCATGCCGATTAGGATTGTTGAATACGAAGGCCCTAATCTGGGAAAAGTACCATAGGGACAACTGATATCGACCCATTTACTTTTTCCGTGGAGAACGCACACATGATTAACGACTGTTGGAACGGTGGAAAGGAATGAGTGATTGCCCCCCTGATAGGTATAAAATTTCGGAATAGGTACTAATATTTGCCAAATATTAGAAAAATCCGCTAATATTATACTACAGCTAATTTCATAAGTCACGGGACAGCCGATAATATCCGGGACTTTTCCGAGAAAATTTATAAGGATTTGAAAAAGCCAACCACATTTTATATGAGTAAAAAATTATGTCGCTATATTCTGAACACTGATCTGAACGTAGCGATTATGTTTTTTCTTCAAAAAATTCTATACCGAGATTTTTTTATCGATTTGCAAAATGATCGTCCGTCCCGTGACTTTTGAAATTAGCTGTAACTTAAAAAGGTTAGATCGAGCGAGCGACGAATTCATATTTCATTATTTTTTTTCTCTTATTTTAGACGAGTCGGATGCATAGGTAAGTTATTTTTTTTAGGTAATTTTTTCGCTTCAACTTTCATA